TTAATAAATAAACTAAAACATGTGACAAACATTTTTGTAACTGATCTATTCTAAATTCTGAACATTTAAGAATGACTTTTCGTCAGAACAGCTTTAATTTCTAAGCCACTTATTGTTTACTACTTTACATTGGGATAGATAAAATATAAAAATATTTTAGAATGTAGTTGGGGGGTACTATATTAAAAAAAAACGATATGATTCACACGTCAACTTTCACATGAGCATGAGAGATGTGATTCATTATTTATTAGTAATACACCACCAATATAATTAAAACACCAAATATGTCATGAAGCATGAATATACTCCTATGGGTATATTACATTGGGGGCCAAAACCGTGATCTTCGCAACCAGCAATCACAGCAAATATTGAAAGCTGCCAGTAATTGGATGGGGGGAGGGGGTGCTCCATAGCTGGAAAAGCTTTAGAGGATTGAAAAGGTTTGAATGACATATCTTTTACCTTCACTAGTTCAGCTTCCCTTCCCCCCCACCCCTACCCCCCCACCCCCCTCAATATTGCCCACCTCCATCACTATCTCTCCCTTTGGGCCGCCAAGACCCTAATCCATGCTTTTATCACATCCAGGCTTAACAATCCCAACTCTCTTCTCCCTGGACTTGTCAATTCTTCTCTCCACAACCTGCAAACCATTCAGCTCTGCAGGTCATGTCCACTCCTGCACTGGAGCCCGTGAGCCTATCAGCCCTATCCTTCTCTGGCTCAACTGGCTCCCCATCCCCAGAGGATTGAGTTCCAGAGACTAGGAATAAAATCTAGCCGCTTGTGTGGAGAATAAATACCAGACAGACTGGTATTTATACTGGGCCGGGTGACCTGTTTCTGAGTTGTACTAATGATGAATCTATGTACATGATATGAAACAAAATTGGTGAGAGTATTTCCCGAAAGGGTTCGGGAGACAACCTGACAAAATAATGCTGCACAGGCTGCAATAGTGCTAAGTTTTTTGCATCAGTCTTTACCAAGGAGGAGACGGTAACCTATCTGATCTGGAAAAAGAACTCAGGGATGTCGCAGAGAAAAGTTGGAACACTATTCATATCACTGCCAGCATGGTTGCCAAACAGCTGTGTAAACTTAAGGTAAATAATTCTCAGGGGCCGGATAAATTGCATCCGAGGATCCTTAAGGAACTAAGGGAGGAAGTCGCAGAGATGCTGGCACAAATCTTTCAAAAATCACTGAATACTGGAGAGGTGCCAGGGGACTGGAGAAAGGCAGATGTTACTCCTATTTTTAAGAATGGTAACAAAAGTGACCCAAGAAACAACAGACTAGTAAGTTTGACATCCATTGTGGGTAAAATTATGGAGACTCTTATTAAAGATAAATTCCTGGAGGTTCTGGACAGAAATAAAATCATAAATGATAGCCAATATGGATTCATGAAGGGAAGGTCTTGCCAATCTAATTTACTGGTTTTCTATGGCAGTGTGGTAAGGGAGCTTGATAAGAGAAACAATGTTGTATATCTGGATTTCAGTAAGGCCTTCGAAACAGTTTCTCTTGAGAGGCTGGTAGTGAAAGTAAAGAAAGAGGGGATCAGTGGAGGTATATTACAATGGATACGCAATTGGTTGACCGGAAGAACCCAGAGGATGGTGGTACAGGGAATGTCACCAGACTGGGAAAATGTAACCAGTGGAGTTCCACAAAGGGTCTGTTTTGGAACCTCTTTTGTTTAATAATTTTTATAAATGATCTGGAACTAGGAGTCGCAAGCACAGTGGCTAAGTTTTCAGATGCCACCAACCTAATGAAGCTGGTAGATTGCGAAGCCTAACAAGATAGGTTACATGGGGATTTTAACATATTTGGTAATTGGGCAGATCGATGACAAATGAAATTCAATGTGGAGAAATGTAATGTACTTCACATGGGAACAAAAAATCCTGAAAGGGACTATTATTTGAACGAAAGGAAAATAATATGTATGGAAAATGAAAGGGACCTGGGGGTCCTGATTGACAATAAATTGGAGCTCTCCCAACAATGCTCCGGGTCAGTGAGTAAAGCAAACCAGATGTTGGGATGTATCAAAAGAACGATAGCAAGCCTAAATATTGGGGTAATCCTGCTACTGTATAAATCATTGGTGAGACCATACAATTCTGGTCACCACAGTACAAAAAGCATATTGGAGAAATCGAGAAGATACAGAGGAGAACAACCAAAATGATTGAGGGAATGGAAGGACTGGACTATGAGGAGTGACTAAATAAATTGGGCATGTTCACACTGGAAAAGAGAAGATTGAAAGGCAACATGATTACTGTCTTTAAGATGCTAAAAGGGCAAGACAATATAGATCTTGACAGGCTGTTTCAACTTGTCCAGAATAGTAAAACCAGAGCACACGGCCTGCGATTGAAAGAGGGGAAATTCAGAACAAATCTACGCAAACACTATTTCAGTGAGCGAATAGTGAACCTGTGGAACCTGTTGAAGCAGGTTGAAGCAGGAAGTGTTGATTCTTTCAAACACAGAAATAACATTATGGGATATAGGTAGTTTGGGACATCTGTGCATGCGACCGCCAGGAAGGTGGAAGGCGAACTAGATGGACCTTGGGCTTTTTTCATGTAGCATTTCTTATGTACACTGAAAGCATACTCTTCACAGAGTCCTCTTCCCTTTTAAAAATATCAATGACATTTTGGTCATCAGTTTGGAAGACAACTGGAGAAACTACATGTGATCTGTCCCTTTTCCAATAAATGTTTGTGAAGAATAAGTCTATGTTCATATATCTTACGGAATTATTAATTCATGTATCTGAATTTTATTTTGGTTGTTTTCATATCATATTTTGAAGTCTGCAGTCTGAAAGTATTCTCCATGTTTAGTCGTGTGTTCCAAATGAATATATTTATATTTGAGTCATGTCTCATTAGGGTGCTCTCCCCATTTCTGCATAGAGAGCAATTGTTTGTTAAACTTCCTTTTCCTCGTCTCACCATTGACGTTCTTGTAGATCGTTTGCTCCCCTTCCTCATTTCCGTCTTGTCAGTCAGCAACTGTGCTTGGTGGATCAGTTTTTCCTATTTTTCTTTTTGTATGTGCTTTGCACGTGGCAGCAGGCTCCTAGCAGGATAGGAAAGGGAAGTTATTGCTGCTCTGTCCTCACTGCCTATAATAATAAATCATAACTCCCCATCCTGTCAGCTACAGCTATCTTTTAAAATGCATGTTGCCTTAACAGTTTCAGTTTACACAGTTTGCATCTCCCAATGGCCACTAAAGTTGAATGGCTTTTCCTTCCTCATGTTAGACAAGCTTTGCAAATAATGAATGGGGAGCTCTGGCCCTTACTTCAAAGCACAGGAAAATGAATGTTGGCTTATGCGATTGCTGTATTTCTTATCCAGTTGCCACTGTTTGAATAAAAACTACACGTCTACCTTGAAGGCAACTGACAAAAAAACTTATCTTTTAACTCCATCGCTAAAAGGATGCAGTTGCTGTATTATAAAATAAATATATTCTCTGCTAGTTAATCAAAAAGTACTCAGACAGCCATAACAAATGAGGTTCAAATGTTAGAATTTGTATCTTCCTTTTTTGTAGTTCATGACATACAGAATATTAGCAGTGATAAGCATTTACATGTTTGTATCTTTACAACATTATTAGGCTTAATATAGAGAATAATGAGTACTTGAGAGTGATTAGAAGGAACTATAGTAATTTATTTGAAGAAATAAATCAAGACGCACAATTCAATCACTTTATAATCATCGTCTGAACCCTGAACACGTCAAGACTGTCCTTACAGTTGAATAATAATCCTTGCATTTGACTTTCACATCCAGAGGGCATAACAAAGTGCTTCACAGTATATATTGTAGTGACTGTATAATTCATAAGCAAACTCAGCAGCCAGTCTGCGCACAGTAGTATCCCACAAACAGCTGTGAATCAAATTACCATTTTGGTGATCATTGGCCATGGTACTGGAAAAAACTCCCTTTTTGTCGCTCATGACATACTGAATATGAGCAGTGACTATTTTAATGACTTTTTGGGGGACATCACTGGGTCCAAATTTGCTATTGCATTTGCCCACAAAATACTTTTATCACTACACTTTATAGCAGTGGTGGGCAACCTTTATGGTCAGGCAACAACATTTTTTTTATTACCATAAATCAAGAAATACCTAATCAAGAAAAAGACTGAAACCAAGCTACCAATCGAACACAGACTTATCTAGACTCATGCAAATGTTCGGAATTGCTTCTTCAAGGCACCTTGGCCTCAGGTTAGCCACCACTCCTTTACAGTTTATCCTGTGTTGTACTTTGAGACGACCCCCCGGTATGGAAGACACTATATTAAATGCAAGGATTATTATAGAGAACAGTTATTATTTATAAAGAATGTGTAATGGATTTTGAAAAAAAACTAGGCTTTACAATTTGTAGAATCTATTCTCTCTTTCCTGTTATACCATAGTTCATGTAAAATGCATATTTTATAAATACAATATGTTTTTATTTCTGATTTGTTTTCATCAACATGTGTGTCACAAATATTTGCTTTTGTTAAGGTTGTTAAAATACAATACACAAGGGACATAAAGTATTTTGTACTGTTCACATTTTTTGCTCTTAGCAGGTTGGGGGAGGGAGCATAATAATTTTATATGCATTTACATTTATCTGGTGGTTTTGATTGTCATATCAATTCATATTTGATTGTCATGAATGAGTATTTAAGACTCATTTTAATTATATTGTCCTTTTCCCCTCTTGTAATGCTATTGATAAATGAAATGATTGATTAAATGACCATAACTAGGGAACATTATTGGACAATATTCTTATTAATATATTGATAAACATGAAATACCATGCCTTACCATCAAAGCTGCTTTGTAGTGATGTTACTAAATGGAACTTTATTTACTCTTCCTGTGTAAAAGCAAGACTCAGTTTAGTAAACAAATACTGTGATGTTCTTTACTGTAGATGATTCGGCGAGAGACAGAAGTGAAGAACAAAGTGATCGCCGTAGCACTCACAGATTCTGTCCATAATGTTTGGCACCAGGATACTGTAAAGTCTATTTTGGACTGGATGCAAGAGGTAAGACTTCAATGTTGGTCTCAATGTTATCAATGTTTAAGATACGAAATTAATTAACCTTAGAGACAAGATTTTTTTTCCGTCAGCAATTCCTGTCTTGGAATCAAACAAGTCTTGTATTGTCAATGCGACACAGTGTGAATCTGAGCAACAAATAGAAGTGTAATACAGTCCGATGTAGTTTTACATTAGACAACTTTGGAACCGTTTTAAGGATATGATAAGTTAATTGCAATTTCCGAAGACTCACTTGCCAATTTCTAACTCATAACTATGACCTCAATTTGTATTCTGGATTTTCTGATGAAATATTCCCAGTAACAGTTTCACTTGAAGAGAACCATCTAACATAAAATAAATGGTGGAATAATACATACTTGTAACATTTTAATTTCTTAGAGGCACTTTCTTCATGAAAAATATCTATCAAACTAATTGTTTGAAAAGGGATGCAGCAGAGCCGTCTGTTAATTTCATCATATTAGGCTACATTCCGATTCATCATTCTCATATTTATCATTCTGATAGACTGGCTGACTGTCTAGTAATAGAATATCAGAATCAAGTTGATCCTCTTTGGCAATCTCAGTAAACAACAACAACTTGCATTTATATAGCGCCATTACCGCGGGTAACAAATCAGAACTCAGTAGTCCCATTCCTGAGCCAGGCAGGACTGCAGTGTTCCATGCAACTAGCTCATTGGCAGAACTTGGAGGAGCAGCAACAACAACAACTTACATTTATGTAGCGCCCCTCAAGCAGGGCAGGGTCCCAGAGCCCTTAATCCTTACTCCCAAAGCAGAACAGTCATGGGCAAGGACACATCCCACCTGCAAGCCAAAGCCATAATGGATAGGGTCCTAGCAGGACAAGTAGCGGAAAAGGTTCCAGGTGAATTGGTTTTTGATGGTTAAATTCCAGCAGTAACCTAGTGCATGCTCAGAGGTCCGCTAACCTTAACTCTTGCCAACCTTCACCTGATACATTCTGGAATTAGGTAAATGGGGTGCATCACTCCTGCGAGAGAGTGCAACACTTCTTTTCAAACAAAGGGAAATTTCCATACATAAGTGGAACTCTCAGTCTGGTTTTGTTGTCACTTGGTTACGTCCTTTTCAGAGAGCAAAGTGGGAGAGAATAGTGGTTAAAAAGGAGTTTTAATTATCTTTCTACATACAACCATTTGTCTCAGGTACTATTTATGTACACATATTATTTGGATCCGTTTTATATTTTGTTTCTGTCAGACTTCTTTTTCAGCTATTGTCTGTATTCAGGGTGCAACAAATAATATCCTATTGCTATCTTAAATTAGTATAATAATAAATAATAGTCCTTGCATTTGATATAGCGCCTTCACAGAATATACTGTAAAGTGAATTGACTGTATATTCTGTGGGCGAAATGTGAATTGAAGTGACCAATTACTTATTTTTTTTGAAGGATTTATTACCCCTGGAAAAGCGATCCGCCAATTATCTAGCAACCGGGTTCCTACTTACTGCTAGGTAAACAGAGGCATGTAGAGTAAGGAAACTTACCCAATATTTCGCCCTGCCGGGAATCAAAACCAGGTCTCTCGCTTGCGAGGCCAGTGCTCTAACCACTGAGCTACAATACTCCACAGCTACAGAATTCCACAAATTAGAAACTTTGACAATTATAGTTCATAGATGCATAGGTATTTTGAAATTATATTTAGCATTTTAAGTGAGATATCTAGGCTGAAGAGTTTTTTTGTCGGTGTAGTTGCAAATTGCATTTAGACACCTTTTTATCAGCACTTTTCAAGCTTAGGAAGGATGTTGTTTTTTCTGACGAGACAAAACTGTTGAAGACTCCTGTTCCTAATTCCCTGTAGATTTAGATGGTCTGAAACCATTTGGCCACATTCAATGTAAGATGAATTTTGTTTAGTCATCATTATATACAGGATGCAAGCTCCACTTTTGCCATAAAACACAGGGTGACAATCCAGACCCAGACCTGCAAAGTATGAGCCTTTATCTGGTCTAGTATTTGAGCATTATTTTAACTTATGTTTTATAATAATAATAATAACAATTCTTGCATTTAATATAGTGCCTCTCATGTCAGGAGGAACTATTCTGAGGGCAAATGTGGCAGGTAATATGATACAACAATGTTTCAGAAACAGATATTGTAAAAAATCTAATAATATAAATAAAAAAATTCTAAAGTGGCTAGACAATATAGATCATGATAGGCTGTTTCAACTTGCCCAGAATAGTAATACCAGAGCACACAGCTTGCGATTGAAGGGGGTAAGTTCAGAACAAATCTATGCAAACACTATTTCAGTGAGCGAACAGTGAACCTGTGGAACAGGCTCCCTAGGATTGATTCTTTCAAACACAGATGAAATAGTTTTCTTTTAGGAAATAACATTATAAGGTATGGTACATAGGTAGTCTGAGACATATGTGCATGCGACCCCCAGGAAGGTGGAAGACGAGCTAGATGGACCTTAGGCTTTTTTCGTCCAGCATTTCTTAAGTTCTTATCTAAATAAAAACGCAAATCGCAAATAGTGTTGTCAGATATTTCAAAGTATAAATAAGGAATATAAAAGCTCCAATGTTAAAAAAAACAGGTTTATGGATAAATGTGAATCATATAGATCAGGAAGATCCAGGTTCAAACCTTGTCTTTGTTGGGCTGACTAATTTCAGAGCAGATGTCGCAAAGGTGGCGATAGTTTTACTTGCAGACTGTTTCTTGGCTGAGAAAATGCCTGAAAAATCCAACAAAAGGGCGGAAATCAAAAGCAACCTGGGAAAAGGACTTCACTTAAAACAATAGGACATTGATTGCAACACTTAAGTATAATTAGGACAACCAGTGTGATAGGATTGTTGGCCAACAAACCAGAAGAAACTCACTTCTCTCTGCTATGTGTATCTGCTTGGCTGAGTTGGTAGTAATCTAGCCTCTGAATCAGAAGGTTGTGGGATAATGTTGAACTCGTATTGTCTTGGCTGACACTCCAGTGCGGTCCTGCAATGCGATAAGTGCCATCCTTCGGATGAGATGTAAAATCGCGGAATGTCTGCCTATACATGTGGATGTTAAAGACCCCATGGCACTATTTGAAAAGAGAAGTGTGTTTCTCCCAGTGGCCTGACCAACGATCCCTGAAATAAAATTAGTCATTCACTTCATAGATGTTTGTGCACAAATTGCTGAGCACAAATTAGTTGCCAAATTTTGCCTATAAAATATACAGTCACTGAACTTTACAGTATATTGTTAAGAGTTTTGAGACATCCTTTCAACATGAAAGGCATTATACGACATCCTCTCTGTCTGTGACCAGGGCTCCTTCTGCCTCCTCGTCCTCCTGGACCTCTCTGCTGCGTTCGACAGTCTACCACACCATCCTCCTCCACCACCTCTCCTCCCTCATCCACCTAAGTGGGACCGCACTCGCATGGTTCAAGTCCTACTTTCTCTTTGACCGAGCCTTCAGCTCCCCTCTCGACTCTCTTCTCCCTCCTTGCTCCCTCCTTTCCCTCCCCTCACCCTGACCATTTCCCCCCTCCTCGCACCCTCCCTTCCCTCCCCTCATCCTGACCATTTCCCCCCTCCTCGCTCCCTCCCTTCCCTCCCCTCACCCTGACCATTTCCCCCTGCTCGGGTCCTGACCCAACTGTGCAGCGCCTTGGGACGTCCTCCTGACGTGAAAGGCGCTTTATAAATGGAATCTTGTTGTTGTTGTTGTTGTACTAAACCAACGGCCTTGGCTTCATCTCGGCAAATGGTTTCTCCTCCTGCTCCCGCTCGGTCACCTATGGGGTACCCCAGAGCTCCATCCTTGGACCTCTTCTTTTTCTCATCTATATGCTCCCTCTGGGCGATGTCATCTGCAGACACGGGGTAAACTTCCACATGTATGTGGATGACACACAAATCTACTTTGCTTCCTCCAGCTGTGACTCCAGGTCTGCTGATGTTCTATTAGCTTGTCTAGCAGACATTTAGGCCTGGATGAGTGCAAAATTCCTGCAGCTGAATGTGGACAAGACGGAAGTCACACTCTGGCTTCCGTCAACATCTTCACTCCTGCAGATCTGAACTCCTCATCCTCTCTTAGGTCTCCCTCACAATTACTGAAAAATCTAGGTGCTTGGTTTGACCCCCACCTTCTTTCCCCACATCCAGTCCCTGTCCAGGACCGCCTTCTTCCATTTCCGCCACATTGCCTGCCTCCGACCGTACCTTACCCCAAATGCAGCCAAAACCCTCCCACCTGGATTACTCAAATGCACTCCTCGCCAGTCTCCCCAGCTCCACTATTCAAAAAATCCTGCTTATTCAGAACCCCCATCTCACCAGTTCTGGCCAGGCTCCACTGGCTTCCCATTACCAAACGGGTCGACTTCAAGATCCTCAAACTCGTGTTCAAATCCCTTCGCTCTCTGGCAGCTGCCTCTTGCCTACCTCTCTGACTTCCTCACTCCCAAATCCACCATCCGGCGCCTCCACTCGACTGGCACAGGCCTCCTGCCTGTCCCTCACACCCTCTGTCCTACCAGAACTCTGGAACACTCCCCCTCAATCCATCCGCCTTGCCCCTTCTCTCCCTTTTTCAAGTCCTGCCTGAAAACGTTTCTTTCGAACGTGGGTACGGTCACTCACCCCCACCCGCGCTCCCTCCCCCCACCATCTTGGTGTCAGGCTCCATCACTGTTAAGCGCTCTGAGACGCTACCCTGTGTGGAGGGCGGTATACAAGGGCAAGTTGTTGAATACCAAATTTAAGGATTATTATTAATAATAAATAGCACCATGTGATTTTTAACATTTAACTGAAAAACACATCGTACTCTCAATTTAGCATCTCATCCAAAGAGTGGCATCTTCAATAATACAGGCTTCCCCCAGCACCTTGTTGGAGTGTCAGCCTATGAGCTCAAAGTCCTGACATAGGTCTTGAACCCACAACCTTCTGACAGAAGTGAAAATGCAACAGACTAA